GACAATACGAAACATAAGAAAATAATTTTGCAATTAAATGTTCTGAACCAATAATATAGATATTATGAACCACTAATGTGGCGACACTAAAGACATCTTAGCTAATGTCCTAAATTACGATATATTAAAGTTTCCGGAATGCAATTAATCTCATAGAAGTACTCGAAATTGAATTATAGTCGGTTAATTAATCAAGTTTCAATTGAGCCCTTAATCGCCCCAATAGCTGAAAGCCCAAAATACACATGCCACTTAGTGGCATTGAGTCAAATTAATCTTGACAGGCAATAAATACGCAAAGCAATTGCACCCTAAATTATCATAGTCATTGAAATTTTAGTAAATAATATATTTTCCAAATAACAGTGATAATACCATTTAAGTTCTGTATACTAATGTTTCAAATTAATTTCCTTTTCTAAAAAATCTGCAACGATTTTTTATAATTAACATAATTTACAACGCGTAAAAACCCCTTTTCAAAGAAAATTGTTTTTCTTTCTTCTTTTCTCAAGCTACTTGAGGAAATTTAATGATGCGTTAAATCTAAATATTGCGCAAGATTTAGAAAAAGGCTGAAAACTGAAAAGTTTACTAAGAAATATTAATGTAAGAGGGTTGGTATAATTGAAGTCATTAAATTAATTAAGTCAGTTTCTCGAGAAATGACTTGAAGTTTTACGGAAAAAAACTGGTGAACTTCAAAGTTGGAGCGAACTTGAGAAATTTTAAAGAACACACTTAGAAATATCGAATGAAACACTATACTTGTGTTAATTTATTATAAGTCTATAAATAAATACCTAAAATAAATAATTAAGAAAAAAATTACGAGTTCAAAAAGTTCAAAAGAATAACAGACAATCCTTTAAACTTATAGTAGTGTAACACTGTTCTGCTAAATGATTTATAAAATCGAATTTTTGATTTTTGAAAGAAACTGTGGAAACACTTGAATTAATTTGTTTTTAATAATATAATTCAAGTTGTAAAATAAGTTAAATAATTGAAGTATAATAAACCATAGACTTGTTAAATCGTATCAAAACTAAGAAATCGTATCAAAACTAATCAATTTCATAAAGAATTTGAGGGTAAAGTATTTTATAATATGCCTTATAGTGCTAAGATTTGAACATCTTAATCTTAAAATCTATCTATTACATGATCAAGAAGCTGATCTCGTAACTTTGATCTGGAATATACGGTTTTAATAAGAGTAAAGAGTTAAGTTGTCACTCTACTAATATTTAGAAAAAATATATTACAAATTACAAACATTTCTATTTGAGTCGTTCACTCATATCGAATACATTAAAAAAATTATGAAATTAAGTATTCAGTACAACATTTGATATTTATAACTATTTACATTATTATGTACCAGTCATCCTAGTGATTAAGTGGTTGAATCGAATTTGAACCAAAATTAGTTATTTGGTGGAGTTAACTTTTCCCCTGATATTAATTTCTTTGATCAATTTAAGGTAAAAAAAATTAAGTACGTTTGACAAAATTTAAACGATTAATTATTTTATACGACTATTCAAACATCTGATTTTACAAAATTATTCACACTTGACCACTGACATAATTCCCGTAACTTCCCGTAGGGTAAGTTATAGTAATCGCAAAAAAATCGAAAATGAAAATTTGTATATATTTTTACGTTTCAAAACCTTCTGAACATTTTGGCACACCTTACAAAAAATGGATGTATGTGTGTGTGTGTGCGTATGTGAGGATACAAATTTTCGTCAACGATTTCGGGAACACGGTTCAACCGATTTCAATTATTCAAAAAACATTCGATTTCTTCTGATAAGGCGACGTGCTGATTAGTTTTTAGCATAGACAGGTCTAGCCGTTGCAAAGATGAGGGGCAAAAAGTGCCACAAATGGTATCTCAGTTTGTCAGAGATTTTAACAATAAGTATAAATTTTGTTTAAATTTCCTATGAGTTTCGTACCAACGTTTATCAGTTATGCGGCGACGCGGCGCTTACGGGCTTCGATATTTCGTCTCTTTGTCGTTAAACTAGTACGATTGCTTTGAAAAAAAGTTCAAAATTTCCAAGATATTTCAAAATAAAGAAACATTTTTTACAAAATGTCTTTTTTTTAAAAAAAGTAAATTTTTGTCAAAAATTTATAGTTTTTCAAAAATCTAATTTTTTCAAAGTGCAATTTTTTCAAAGATGTTAATCTTTTTTTAAAAAAATAATTTTTGGTACGGGAAGTTCCAGCCATTTGCCTTAAGGCACGATATTCATTTTGCGCATTTAACACACGAATTGATAGCAAAGTCAATAAGCTAAATGATATTAAATCATTTGCAGCTCATTCCAATATTACTGTTTTACTCAAAGAATTATTAATAATACATATATTTAATTAGTGAATCTTATTTGCCGTTGACATCATCACCGAATCGTCGCCTAAAGCTTTCCGCGTCCGTAACTCATATTACCTCAGTCATGATATCGACAGCTTGTTCTCATATATTCGTCAAAACGCTTGAGGACTTCCGTTTGCCTATAGTGCAGAACCGTGCGTTTCCGTTGGCATCGAACAGGATATTGCGAAACGATTTTAACCCATAGACATTCGCAAAGGCTCAGCGATTGGGACAGAATTATTTGTAACGAAAACCAAATGTGTGGACGGAAAACGATGTCGTTGGATTAAAATTTATTAAATTGCTTTTTCGATCAATACATTGTAAAACAAATCGCCATCAAATTTATAATAGCAGTTTACAATACTTTCAATATTAATTAATTTTATGTGTTTTATTTATAAATAGCTATTACTTGAAAATAAGTATGTTACAGTTTGTTTTTTGGCATTATGTAGTTAGTAGCTATAAATTCGAATGTAATGCCCATTAGTTTGAATCTATTGGGTAGATAGCTCTGTAACAGCATATAGTGAATGAAAACAGTATAAATAATGTAATAATTAATCTTTGTTACTCAGAAAAAGTAAGAAATGAGTATTGGCTATGATCTATATAATGGTGGATTAGTGTGTTGTAAGGTAGAATATGGAGCACATTTTTAATGAAAGATATTGATGCTGTTAACGCCTTATTCGTCCCTGGTCTAATAGAATGATATTGTTATATATTATTACCTTCATGCAGGATAGCAATAATAAACCCTCATCCCTTATTGTATAATTTAAAACTATTAAATAATCCCTCTCATTGTCATGCATCCTGTCCCTAAATCATACCAATTATCCATTTTTCTAAGAATCTCTAATCACCTGTTCCCGATTGAATTCCACGTACCATGGATTCACCGGTTAATACCTGATTGGTCAAATATGTAATGGGATGTCCCATCTTGAACCCACAAAAACGAACCAATCAGAAAAATAATATAAAATTGTGAAATCATTATAATTTAGTAATAACTGAAATTTCATCTAATATCAGTCTTATATCAACACTCAAAGGAGTAATATCTAAAAAATCATCTAACAAACGTAAGTATCAATTCAAACCTTATCTAAGTAACATATCATCTGTAAGTCTTAATATCGTAGTATTTCATTTAAATATACAAGAATTAAACATTTATTCATCATCTTTTAATCGGTCTGATATAGCCACTATCTAAATATATCTGGTTCTTCGAAAATATAAAGTGCAAGTGTACTTAATAGAATTCGGCAGCATCTCGGTGGATCACGAACTTCTATACATTTTTGCAAACTATCTGTAACAACAGATGTTTTAGTACTATTTTAAGAGTCTTAAAAAATCACACAATCCAGCAGTGTTGCAATAGTAATTACATCATTAAATTCCTTTTATCATAAGAAATTTACGCTTTTACCAACCAAATAACCTAATAAGTGAACCCAGTTGTTCAATAAAAACAGTATCAATGAACCACTCAAGAATTGATGAACACTCAAATAATAGAACGCGATTAATTATGAATTACATCTCAATAAAGAGACTAAAGAAGAAATGGCCTTAGAAATATAATTCAATATTAGCTGCAAATTAATAATTAATTAGCTCCATATTTCTTCTGGAACATCAGATCCGAGCAAATGAGAATGACATGTCATAATACATATTTTTGTAAAAAAGTATTTTGTAATACATTTTTATAAAACTAGAAATTATTAATTACAAATTAATCTATTTCCACATTGGTGTCATAATAGGCACCAATGTGAAAATGGGTTATTTTGTAGAATGGGATAATACTTTTGTACACAAATATTTTGTAATATAATTGGAAATTAATAATTATAAAATTAATTACTTATTATGTGAAAATAACCTAATTAATTACAAATTAATTAACTTATTTTCACATAATAATACTTCTGATTATCTGTAGTGAAAAAAATTCACGATAAAATTTTATGTAATTTCAGTGAATCATGTGCTACATGCATATATTTTATTCATAAATCTGATATCTTTTTTTGATGCTAAATAATTTTTGGCGACTAAAACTCATGTTAATTTCTAACAATTAAATACAAAACTGTACTGTGCACTATATCAAGATTTAAAAACTTTCAATTATAAGAATTTAAAGTATTAGTACTTAGTTTAATGTTTGTCGAGTAGGTTTTAAATTCTTTTATACATATGGGATTGTGTGAATTAGTTATTTGTTTTTTAGGTATAAATTTTTAGTAATTGTAAGTTCTATACCTAAATATATAATCGTAATTAGATTACAATTGCCCAATTATTTAATTGTTCAACCCTCAATTGATATATATATATATAATCGACCTCAAGTGCCAGAACTTCGTAATTACTCGGTTATCTACTCGGTTGTCTACTCTGTGACAAAACACAGGAGAATAAGAAATTGTCAGTATTTTCATTTCATTCGAAACTTTTAGACCAGTCGCGTACTATATTTAATTAAAACTCCATAGTATGACTATATTCTGCAGCTTTAGAATAATTTTAAGAGATAATTTGAAACATAACGATTAGTATTATAGTTTCCACGTACCATAGACGAGCATTTTGGCAGATTCCTGAGCCGTTCCGTCGTAATAGGTCTCGACGACGCACTGGTATGTGCCCGACATATTTCGCGTCGGCTTTAACAAGTTCATGGCACGATATCTGAAGTTTGGATCATCCGAGGCCTTGTATGATAAATTTACAAAATCTGAAAATAAACGAGATGCATACTTTAATATAGTCCATATAGAAAACGAGTATAATATTCTACTAATAAAAATTAAAATATTTTGATAAAATTAATGTTTTTTCCAAATTCATCATCAAACATGCGAGCGATCAAGGAAACGATATTCAACATGAATGAGGAAGACAATGCATTAAAATATTTACAAAATTGGTATGCCACAAATCAATATTAAAGTATTATTAATGAACACTTAATAATAATAATTAATAATAATCCCTATATTATGGTTTATCCGGGACAGTTCCGGGTTTTCATCTTTTGATCCGGGTTTTTTCAAAATCAATATATGTCCCGGATTTTTGAAAAGTATAGGTTTAAATCTTAATTAAAATTTCCTCAATTAAAATTTGTTTTTGCTTATTTAAAATTAAATTACAACTACTTTTCAAATTAAGTATGTGAATCAATGTGTTTTTTATCTCTTGTAAAACGTTATGAATGAGAAAATTGCTGAATACAAAATTCCATAGGCGAATTTAATGTCATAAAATTAAAAAAAAAAAAGAAAACAAACAAGCCAATAGTAATATTTTCAAGTTAATTATGAAGAAAATTGAGTTTTATAGAAGTCTCAAATGCTAAAAAACATATAGATTAAATAATATAAGATATAATATAAAAGCATGGTAAATGATGATTGTAACATATAATCGAGTTAGAAATCTTACTAATTGTCCGCAATTTGAATTATAAGTAATATAATAAATAAATTAAGAATATGAGGTCTTAATGATGCAATAACAGGAATAGCATAATAATTTGCTGTATGTTAAAGCAATTTTCGCTTTGATGTTTATAGATGATTACTGGGATAATTCTGAAATGAAAGTGGTACAATAGATTTATTTAAATCTTTCATTGTCCTAGTTTTAGTTATTTTTTGTTCCAGTTGATTCTTTTTCACTAGATTTCCTAAACCCACATTAAAGACGTGGGTATTATCCAGAAGGATATACATGAGCGACGTGCCTGGCTAACTTTTCCAGATTTATTATTTTTCTTTGTGACTTTTCTTTTATTTTTGCTAGATCAACGTTTCATTATTCCGCCATGAAACAAAACCCTGTAAGAAACTTTTCATATAGTCTATACGGAGAAGAGTAAGTTAAGCATTGTATGTTCAGTATATAATTCTACTTAAAAGTAAGTTTTATGATATGAAATAACGTGATTTAGACTTATTTTATGCATCAGGTAATACATCGAATCAAGATATATACTCAGTATGTAATAAACCAATTCTAGATGTATATTCAATGTGATAAGTATTATTATTAATACAAATATTTAATATTATTTTCATTTTCATTTTCGATTTTTTGCGATTACTATAACTTACCCTATGGTAGTCAACAAATATTTTTTAACAGCGAATGTGTAATATTAGTGCTATCTAAAATATAATAATTTAATTGTATGCAGTTTGAAATCATGTACTAATAAATCAATTTAGAAATCCTCTAAAACGACTGGTTCCTCGATTCTCCTAAAACCACCTATTTTAGGAGAATGGTTAGAATAAGCTTCATAATAATATTCATTACGAAATATTTTCGAACGTGATTCATAAATTTTGTATATCTATATAATTTAATATACCTAAAAATGCAAAAATTAATATTTTACTTTTATAAGCTTACTTTTGAAAGCTCCCAATGCATGCGGCTTCTGATCAGCTATCCACTGATATATTGGCCGCATAGTCATTTTGCCATCAGGAGCAAAGTACCACTTGACGACCAGGCCGTAAGGATTTCTCAGCTCGTAATCGCAGTCCAGGAGCACACTATCTACACCCCCATCCTGGACCACAGCAGGCACGCGGAGAGCTTTTATCCGGACTGCCGCTTGACATATATCTGAAAATTTATTTTTATTAAAATTGTGTAACTTCTTAAATTTATAAAAAAAAAATGGTAAAAGCTTCAGAATCTTCGTACTAATTGCTGAGAGCGTAAGTAGTTTAGTATTAATTAGACTGAAAAAACGCAATACGGATAAATACCTTGTCAAGTACAAGTTATACCTTGGTTTCGAATTTAGAAGATTTGATAAAGAATTTGCGTTGTACCATTATCTGATAAATGCATTATCATTAACCGTAATTTTCTCATTCAAAGCAGCAAAATGTTTCATTGGTTTACGAATTCGGTTTAGAGGTGTTCTCGCACTCGTGATGGTGGTAATGTGAGCCATTCTGTCAGGTGCGACGTGAATTCTCTTGAAACTGATATAAATTGCCTCTACACCATGTTACCAATGGAATTGCAGACAACTAGATGGCAACATATCACACAGTAATATTATTCAAATTTGACATCAGACAATAACCCAGTGTTTCAAATATGATGTTGACGATACAGACGAACTACTAGTACACATATCATATACATACAACATAACAACACACACACACACACACACACACACATATATATATATATATATATATATATATATATATATCAGTATTTTTATTTTAATTTCATTATTATCTTGTTAATTTCTAGCTTTTGATCCGCCATTGTTAATAACATTTCTAAGTTCACAATAGAAAATAATCACAATTGCCACTGTGGACCTAGAAATATTATATACATTTACGCATCAGAAGATAAAATAAACATAACAAATGAAAATTAATCACAATAACCAAAAAATAGTCATATTTTTACCAAAGCTCTAGATTACACTTAAAAGCTCAAAATGTTCAAACTTCGAGATGTTTTTAATTTTTTTTTCATGGCATGGCTTCGGCTTGGCATTGAGTTCTGGGACACCCTGCATGTATATATGTATTTATCATGTATGAGTGCGTATGTTATTCTGATTCTATTGTCATTCTCCTCAAGGGGTGCTAATAAGCGTTTTATGGTCACATTTTCACAGAATCGGAAATAACGGTCTATGCTTTTATCGAACGAACTGTAGAAAACGGAAGTCCGGCTTTCCTACCAAGTCCTTCATCTCGGAAAAACGGAAAACCAACTTCCGCGCTTCTTCTGCCGATTATCGCACCACAAAATGGATTCAGATATTAAGTTTTTGCATGATTTTTTCATCTTTTGTTGGGTTTCGACACATACACTCTTTTCTAATTTTATTAAGTCGAGAATGATTATTTTATCAAACAATTCTCTATTGAACATGATTTACATAAAAAATTATAGCGCTTGTTTTAATCTACTTTGAGACTTGAGACTGTAATTCGATAGTAAAAAGAAATGCACCAGCACAGACAACGCTAAACTATTACTAGTAAAATTATTAATTGGAACATGGAAACTATGTTAATTATATATATATATATATATATATATATAAATATATAGATGGGTATGTGTATGTGTTTGTATGTAACAATTTAAAGAAGAATTCTACTATGAAACGTTGAAAAATAATTCCTCGCATGAATGATAGACACAGGGCTTTTATTCGTTTAAAAAAATCGGACTATAAAAATACGTTTCAGCATAAACGTTTATTTCTTCATCGACAATATACATAAAATGTGCCATGGCGATATGATATATAACGAATATAAAAAAATAATATGGCACGCGTGATACGCGCGAAATTGTCGCGGTGAATTTATGAGAGCGCCGTGAAAATATATTGCTGCTGAATTACATCGCTCAAATCTTTATTGAATATTATATAATATTCAATATAAGTTTCAGCTAGGTAAGAATATGCAATAATTTATAATCAATCTCGCATCTACATGCAATTCTTGTATGATTATTGTCACAGCTCGTGATCAAATTGTGCGGCTATTGACAGAACAATTCATTTTAAATATCTTTATAGAAGTAAAGAAAATATTATATGCATATTCTATGAATTGTTATATAGTTTAATAACAGTATTATAACGTTTGAAAATATCTTGTTTTCAGAATGATTTCAAAGGTCGATCGCCCGGTACTTGGTAGATAGTGTTAAATAAATTGGTTTTCGTTTCTAGTTTCTAGTGGATTATTTTAGTAGAAAAGCAAATATTCAAAGCAAGAATTCAAAGTATAAAAATATCGATGCCAATAATTGAACGCTTTGCTCTACGAACAACTAATCTTTTACCATGGTTTTCTCTTGTGAATACTTATTGCAAACAAATTATTAAATAAAAAACTAAGTTTTTATTTTTACAATGATTAGTTTTAACTATTTTTGTAAGAATGAAACATAATTTATTTTAGCGGAACTTATTTATTTTGGTGAATTTTTCATATCACACTTTGAATTTTATTCTATATGTTGTTACTATTTTAAAAATGATACGTTTGCTAAAAATAATTAACCCGTAAGATATATTGCGATCATTGCAAAAAAGTAGTCCATGATTTTTCAATATTCTTATGAAATATTGAAAAGGCTTAACAATGTAGAAAAAATCATTTTGGTTTACGCCGCCTAGTGAGTGATCTAGTTATTTAAACTATCATCGACAATTTGTTACGACATTTCTTATTTGAATAGAATGCATATTGGAAACTAGAACTAAGTACTAAAAAATGGAATCAAGTAAAGTTTCAATTATGAATTTTTATATTTTTAGTAGATTCGTAACTTATTTGATGTTTTATGTTTTTCTAGTTATAATATACCTGATTTTCCTGTTATTCAAGTAAAATGGAACAAATTTAGCCATTTCACACTTCCTGGTCAAGAAGTTTAAGTAGAAGTTACTTTACCTTCCCTCGTAAACACAACTTTTCTATTCCGCAGTCGAGTAGACATTACGGCGGTTTGGGGACATGATTAATGCATCATCGGGCTATAAAACACACGGCATAAAACTTATTTATGAGCACAGTTAGAACTACAAATTTTAAATTAATGTACTGTTCTAGAGAAAATGGATTAATATGTACATAATTCCACGACTTTATCATATAAAGAAGTAAAAATTCAAGCCAGTAAAATCTCGCCAAAATATTTTTATCTTGTAATCGGTCTGTGAACTTCGAATTTTCGTTGTATTTTAATAATTCATTAGGTAACTCATGAATAATAAACATCATATACTTCATTGTTGAGAACTATTATATAACAAGCAATATGTTCAGTGTAGCAGATCCTACACTAAATTAAATTAGTAAAAGGTTTAATGCTAAATCTCACATTAATATAATACTTCTTATAAATCGACCCTTACTCTCATAATAAGGGTAAACCAGGTCAAAATGGTATAATATTAAAGCAGTAAAATAAGCAATGATTAATCGCCAACAAGTATACATAAGATATTAGCACATAATTCTGTAATTAATACTAATAAGTAGTTTATTAAAGATCAATGAATATCTCTTCAGTATATTTCATTGATGTATGCATTATATTGATTGATACAAGTATTGTTGAATACTTGCTAATATTGATAATAACTTCAATTGATAAAGGTGAACTTGAAACTTTGTAATCATGCTAAAATAAATTAAATTTATTAAACATATAATAACAATATTAATTAGTAACATTATTGATTAATAATTTCATTTAATATATGATTAATAAAATCAATGAATTGTCTAATTTTTATAGTATTAGTTTAGTTTTTTTATTAATATGTTGGGTCATATTTCTGTTGATCACTGGTATTTAATGATTAAGCATTGACTTTTTATATAATAATATTTAAATATTAATTCTAAGTTTCAATTTAAAGTATGGATATTTTATCTGTCTCTTATAGATCTTTATCTGTCTTATATATTATGTTATATTATTAAAATACCCCATCGACATTTATACGAGTAACAATCCCACAGACTTAAATTTTAAGAAGCTGAAAAGTTCCAGCCTTTTCAACCGATAAAATATTATTCATATTCTTTGAGCGGAATAAAAAGGAAATGCTAATCAGTTTCATCATATTTAACTTTTTATGCCGTCATCTCATTTCGCAAGATACAAAATTTCTATAGAATAATCTGTATTCATGACGATGATACTTTGACTAGTCACAATGTCTTGACATTTTAATAAAATTAGAATGGTTTTTCGGGTACTTACAATTACAAAACGAGAACGCGGAATCGTAATATTATGGAAAAGTGAAAACTATTATGATGCATATTAGTGTCATAATATTTTATTAAAAGCAGTAACTTTACTGAAATCATTATATCCATATTAATATACAGGAGTCTGCAATGTGGTAATAAACATTAAAAACGCTATTAAACATTATAAAACTTTAACATAAAATTCGTAATATACCAAAGTAAACCCTATACGTTCGTAATATGTGGTTTTAATTAATATAAATGCGAAAACTTTTTATAACTTTTTTATGTTTTAATATTAATTGGCTCGCAACTAAAAATATTAAGATAATTTCTCAAAAACAAAACTGATGAAATATTATGTTTTCAACCAAATTATTTTAATAAAAAGAGCATGTATTTTCCTTAATAAATTCCTTTATTAGACGCATCAGACAAACGTTTCAATCACCTTCTCAAGAAATTTTTCAATGTCAATAGAATTTTCCTTTCCCAGTTTCATAAACTTTTCTAAAAACAAAACTGATAAAATAATATGTTTTTCACCAAATTAAATAATTTAAAAGAACATGTATTTTCCTTAATAAATTCCAAAATTAGATGCATCAGACGTACGTTTCAATCACCTTTTCATGAAATTTTTCAATATCAATAGAATTTTCCTTTCCCACTTTCATAAACTTTCACAAAAACAAAACTGATGAAATATTATGTTTTCCACCAAATTATTTTATTAAAAAGAGCATGTATTTTCTTTAATAAATTCCTTTATTAGATGCATCAGACATAGGTTTCAATCAGCTTTTCATGAAATTTTTCAATGTCAATAGAATTTTCCTTTCCCAGTTTCATAAACTTTCTCAAAAACAAAACTGATGAAATATTATGTTTTCACCAAATTATTTTATTAAAAAGAGCATGTATTTTCCTTAATAAATTCCTTTATTAGATGCATCAGACGAACGTTTCATTTTCATGAAATTTTTCAATATCAATAGAATTTTCCTTTCCCAGTTTCATAAACTTTAGAGTAAAATAGAGACGATTACAAATGATAAAACAAAGTATTCTTGTTGGTTGGCTTGACCGGAACTTACCGCGAAACATGCGAAACTGCAAAGTTCCGGACGGTATATCTTTCTCTTCCGGATGCAGAATTGTTGCACATGAAAGTTTCACGGAATTTTTA